TGTAAAGGACGATTATGGGGTGGCCCTCCGACTAGGCCATGATCGACTTAACTGCGCTTACGACGACCTGAAGGGGCTGCGTACGTTCGCTCACGGACTTAAAGTGGAGGGGAACGCCAAGCGGGCAAAAAATCCACGAAAAAATTTTTCAACAGTAAAAGAAATGACCCCTGATATGATGACGATAACGTAGCAGAAGTCCGTGCCCGTTTATAGATCGCGAATTATGCGACTTGGCAATTACGCTGAAAGGAATGCATGCGTATCGATCTGCAACGCGGCGATTATGCAATTTGGCAATTAAGCCGAAAGGACGAGGTAGGCATCGAATGAAATGACTTGGCCTAATTAACGGTCGTCGATGCAATACGTAGACGATCCTTCAATCAATATGTACAGATACCTTTCAGCATAATCACTAAATCGCCAAATCCCTTAATCGCCAAGTCGCATAAGTCGCGAGCTATGAACGGAGTTTCAGTGAGAGCGCAGACAAAGGCAGAAGCAGAGAGCATATCAACAATCGATCTGTGCTAGTTGTCCGTGGGCACCAAACCTAAATCGATCACCAAATCTACTACCACTTTAACAATAACGTGAACCATGATTTTGACAGCAATTGGTCCGTCACACGGATTCAGTTTTTAGAACCTTAAAGGGTTTCCAAGGAACCAGCACTAAAGCCACTTTTTTCCCACTCAAACCCCATTTGTTTTTTTTTGCACCCCTTTCTATGGGCTTATAAATCTCAATCCAAAAATCTGACTCAAAATTTTCAGAACTTTTTCGAAAGTTTCGTAATTTCTTTTCCTATTCGCTGCGTAGCTTGATTGTTTTTCGCTCTTGCCATCTCTGACGTCATAAGCTCCGGTTCCTGTTTGAAGGGATTAAAGGAAAATCAAATAACAAGTACAAAATCATATGTAATGTTGATTTTTATTGCCTCCCATATTTTCGTATATTCACGAGGTCGGAAATCCCACCAGTTGTTATGGTGACGATCATCTTCGACGCGGCCGAAAATCCTCCCAAACAACAAGAATTCTATCCGTATGACGTAATAACTTCATTGCTAGCACGTGAAGAGAAAACATGCCAAGTTCAAATTTCAACTTCAAACGTTAAATCACCGATCAACAACATTCACAAATCAGACGGAATTAATAAGTAGCAATAATAAGGTTATTGTTCACCAATGAAGTACGAAATATAAGTAATCATGTGGGCAAGAAATATATGAGAACAGCTGCTGTGAACCAATTCAAAATTGATTTTAAGTATGGAAATGAAAAATGATTATCTCGCTAGAACCAACAGACGACCACGTCACTGGAGAGAAGAAAAAATACGAGATTCATTACGAAAACATTTCTTTACAAGACATTCAAAAGTATGTATTTCAAAGTATATCAAGATCGAGTGTAACCCGTAACTGCTCCAATCAAAAAGCAGAATGTTAGCGCTGTGGAGTGAGTAATGAACAGTGATCATTTAGATGATCCGAGAAGGACTGAGAACACAAACCTTTCGAGCTAAGAACCATTATTAGATGGTCCAGCTCCATTGGAATCGTCGCGTTGATGTGAATCTTCATGATCGTCACACCGTGCTGATAAGTCCGACAGTCGTTCGGCAAGTTTCGCAGCACCTGGATCGTTCACCTCCAGGTCGATCTGGGGAAGTGCGTCACGTCTGCCGGCTCGTCCAGAGGCCACAAAATGCTCCAGTGTGTCGCTCTCAGCCTCCAGCTCACCCATTTAGTGTGAAAAGAGTGCGAGACGAGATAGGTTTACGTAATTACTCAGCAGAAGCACAGCACCGCAAGTGTGACCGCAGCAAGACGACCCACAAAGGTAATCTGACTCTCTGCCTGGGCGTGCTAGCGTGCAGACGACGGAGCGCCTCGCATGCCGCAGTGACGAGGTTCCGCCCCAGCTTTAAAAGGCAGGAGAGTTATTTCCCGTAGGAGCCCCACACTAACGTGTTGTAGCCCCTACCCATCGTCAGTGTTCTGATTCTGGTCACGATTCCAGGTGTAATCCAGCGCCACTCTGACCAGAGAGCGCTGCCACAAGCAGCCAGAGGATGGATGACTCATTGATTTTTGACAGATTAGCAAATTACGCGCATTTTATGCGCCATTGTCCGCAGTCTACGGTCCTTACAGCGAATGTGTCGTTCTCTAAATTTTTATTCGTCCATAGCTACTATTGTGAAGGGTTTTGTTAAGTGTTCATCTGCTCAAGTGGGCCGTAAGTATTTGCAATATATTCAAAATGTTGTTGGTAGTAAATCTATACTCTGCTTCCTTTGTAGGCAGTGCTAAAGGAGTTACCTAGGCGATTTATCACATTTTTTATTCGAAATAGGGAGGTCCCAAAGTGGCGCTCATGGCGTGGTGTGGGGTGAGGTGCGGAAAGACATCCAAACAAGTGTTCTCGAAAAAAGTGCGTTGAGGTAATACTGGGACTGAGGGTCTGGAGAGGGAGAAACCCAGGGGAGAACAAAATTGCTCACTTTCTCTCCCAAACTCCCTAAGGCCTAGTTCTGAGGGCTGTAATCGGCGCAACCACTAGAGTGTTTCCTCCCATTCTCCTCGAACTGCATGAGCGCCCTCAAGTTCGTCAAGGAATCAAGGTTCGGTTAAGTGCTCTGGTGTTACTTGTCATGTGATTCTTGAGTGCTCAAGTTGGAACTATTTCCTGGGTGTGAATGGTTCTTAAGCGTATTTATTTCTGCAAAGAATTTTGAGCGTGCACTTAAACCACACCCTTGTTAGCTAATAACTTATTTCAGGACTTCGCTGTTTCAGCAGAAAAAATGTCCAGCAAAAAGAAACCAACGATCAGTACATGTGAAAAGTGCCAGTGTACTGTTTTGGTGAAAGATTTTCCACGCCACACCGAGATATGTGGGGTCAGCACCACATTATTGGGAGGTAAGTTACATTTTTAATGGAAATAATTTATAATGAGGGCTGCAAGCCTTTTTAGTCAAACTGAAATTGAGGACATAAAATCGCAGGTGCACTACAGGCACCGCATCTCACTTCCGCGGGGGAATTTTCACCTCTCCCCGCCAAACCAACCATTTATTCTAACTTTTTAAGTGGCTCAACCACTCAGTGCTCTCCGCAAGTTGTTAATTTAGTCGAACAAACTTCTACGATTCTACATAGAACGAAATCATTAACCTTTTCATTCATTATTTTTTGGCATCTATCCCAAGGGCGGAAGTGGTGTAGTGACAAGTGGCGCGCTCACCACGCGAGCGGTCCGGGATCAAATCCTGGGTCGTGAGTCGCCCGGGCCAACCAAGCCTTCCATCCCTCCGGGGTCGGTTAATTGGTACCAGACTTGTCTGGGAGGATAAAAACACTGACTTGTACATCGGCTGGCCCCCGCAAGTCATTGTATAGGCCACATCGCATTCAAACGCCACTGCGAATGTACAAATGGAAGTAGAATGCGTGCCGCATCCCAAAGGGATTGATCAACGGCAAATGCTTTATCCTTTATATTATCCGAATACTTATTAGGAAAAGCGATGTTATGTGCTGAACATAAAAAACTGACTTTTCTCATGTAAGAGTACAGAGCAGGGTGAGCATCGTGATGGGGAAATAGCCCGACTGATATAATACTCGCCTTTCAACTACTATCAATCTCTTCCTCTCCCCGTGTTTTACCGACCCACTCATCGATGGCGGTAGTGTGCTTGAGGAAGTTCCGCCTGACGAACTCGAACTCCGCCCCCAAAACGGCTATCAATTGAGGGATGGGACAGTGACTGCTAGAAAGGTATTCCTTCATTTTACCCCGTTATTTCATCCCACTACCCTCCGCTGTATTTATATACATCCCTAAAAATCACAAATTCGGTTTCGAGGAATTCTCGATCAGCGTTCGTCTTAATGTCGAGATTGAGAAGGGAATTGTGATAGCGACCAGTTTTTTGAAAGCATTCCGTCCTAGCTCAAGCATGCCCTTCTCATACAGAGCGTCTCATTTTTAATGCTCAGCATGGTAACGGGCTCTAAGAACAGAAGGTGCAGCTGTAGTTGATACGGTTTTGGTGGCAGTTTTTCTGGAGCTTCGGCAGAGTGAAAGAGGATTTTCACAGCAACCTAACCGATTTGGGTGGTGGTAATGTTTTGATTTTTTTTTTCCTCAATCACGATAGTAGCTCTACTCAAAAATTCATAGTTGATGGTTCCATCGCGTTGTAAACAAAAGTATCTGTAGTTTTCGTCATCGCCGATTTCCTCAGTTTTTCTTTCTCCTTATTGTAACCGTTTCTTCCAATCGTTTCTTTTTTCGTGAATGTCCTAGCAAGGTATGACGATGTCTTTTAACATGAATCCACTCTGATCGCTCCGATCCTAAGAGATTGACTCCTTCAAAAATTGCGGAGCTTGTCGGTTCGAGCATTCAGGGGGTATTCTTGGTTGATGAGCAGTTTCTATGGGGAAAAAGATTGATTTCCTGAGTTCAACTTTTCTGATTATTTGATGGGTGCAAGTCTCTTTGTGACAACAATAGCGTCATCTTGAGCATTGCTTTACACTTTATTACACTGGGAAAGAATTTGACGTATTTTCTGTTATAATGACCGCCGGGTTGAGTCCACCATATGGGTGAGCGAAACGGCGGAGATTTTCATGAAATGTTCAGTTATTGGAATTCCTATAATAGCTCGATTATTCCACGGAATGACTGAAATTCATTGCAGATGTCTGTCATAAAGCCCCGATGTATAATGAAAGGGTTTGTCGTGCAGTTCGAGAAATGGGACGAGTATCTTCCACCTGATACATGCGGCTTGGCTACCGGATATGGTTCGGCTTTTCATGCATTCCTCAGCAATGGGTTGCTTGGCATCAATGCAAGACAACCAGTTCGTGTCCAAACTCCCGTTAGCGATTACATTGGAGTGGTTTGGCCATGTAAAGAGGTGAGCATTCAGGATTTCTATCATAGCTCAAATTTAGGTATCCGTTCTGCTGTCTTCTGTATCACTTGGAATACTTCTTCCGCCTTTTCAGATAGGAATTTTGCGTATATCTCTTACTGAAGAAAACGGCGCTTGGGAGAAACTTGCTTGCATCACCCCTATCTGGAATTCTCTACGTCTTCAACGAATTTCTTTATCAATTGACTCACCTCTACCACTAGCCGTTGCATCGTTGCAGGAGTATTATACAGGTAGCTCAACATTTTCTCTTAGAATCAGAGCTGAGTTCCACCCAACTCAGATGTATTTGTCGAACTCTTATATCCAACCTGGAATTGCAATTCCTCTGAATTATTATGGAAAAGTTATTCAAATCGTTCCAGACGTCCCACTCGAGCTCGCTCTGAAGACATAGTCACTCAGAAAGATTGCCGAGAGCTAGAGGTAAGATTCCAATCTATTTATTTATAATCCTACTCGCTACCTTGTGCTTACCAGCCGAACATGTCATTTTTCGTCCCCTCTGATTGTACGGTCACAATATCATCTGCGAGTCATCTCTGGTAACAGAAGATCCTCTCTCAGTTGTTTCATCGATAGGAGGAATGCACATAGCGAAGAAGACTTTGATGGATTTTGTTCTAGTTCCATATCTGAGGTAGTGACATTATTTTATTCATTCCACTGCTCCTTCATTGTGCGCGTTATGTCTACTCACGCGTGAAATTTTCAGGGAAAAATCATGTTGTTCTATATTGCTCTGGATTGCAGGGAGCTCGCGAAAAACATTGTTGCTTTCCGCTGTTGCCAAAGCTCTTGGAAGCTCAGCGTTTTATTTCCAAGTGAGTGTTTGTTAACAGTGAATATGTGCATCGGTAGTTGCACGACGAAGTGCCGCCACTATTTGAATGAGCCTGGACAGTATCCCGTCTTGATCAAGCAATTACCTATAGGATGCATAGGTTTACCTATTCTTCAACCGCGCTGTGTTTCACCATCATCTTACGAATTCGAATAAGTAGTGGCAGTGGGGTCGAAGCGTAGGAGAACATTGTCAGATTTTTCAAGTTGTGGACGACAGTGCGATTTTTGAATGTTTCATGGGTGGATGAATTTTTGAGCTCGGCAGCCGTGGGTTCCTTTGAGGGTGCGTTCCTTCTGAGGGCGGCGGTTGGGAAGGAGTATGGTCACAGAGTGATTAGATTCTTCAGTCGCTTCCTTTGTTCGAATGTTTAACTATTTCATTAAATTAGAAGTCAAAAGACGAATGAATGGATCTGAATTTTGAATGTTTCATGGACCGATAGCGAAAACCTACGCCATCCACACTTCTGTTATATACAATAATAGATAGCCTGTCATTTACAGACCACTATTTGGACCATATAGTATAGCATATGTAACATGAGTCCTGGGTCTATTCTGTTAACAGGAATCCATGTGGTACGACAGATCTTTCCACACACATCACTCATTCTAACCCCAAAGCTGTGTCCTCCTCCGCCAAAGTTTGGGAAATTCTGGTAAGCGGCATGAATTGTCGCACCACCTCCCACCCCCCTTATTCCCAAAATCCGGCAATGCGATTGCACAAAAAAGTGAATTAATGAGTATGGTACAAATATGAACCACAATGTCCCACGCCGTGCGCAAAGCGTGTTTCGCACATGAATCGCGCCAAATTGAATTTTAATCGCGCTGTCTCATCAATGCTTGACTGTAAATAGAACCTCTTGCCGGACGTATCCCCTCTTAGTGGTAGATAATCTTATAGCGAAACAGTGTCTTAGGACTTCCTAAAATTACTAGGTAGTGTTCCTCATTTTTGATTTGTTTCGGTCGTGCAATCAAATGTCAGGCAGGGAATACATAAATTTCTCGATCATTTGTTATCGGTCTGGAGTGAGCAAGGGCTAACGTACATATACTTTCCTTTCTCCAACGAAGCAGCTTCGAAAAAGATCTCTACTGTGTTTTTAGATGAAGTTAAAGCAAGGATGTACCGAATCTCGCAAATTCCTTCTTGTTTTCAGTCTATGGACGAGTTCAGTGAGAAGTACACTCTGATTCCTCCACGATGCGTAGTAATTCTGGATTGGCCATCAGTGGACAAAGAGCACAAGGGTTTCAGCAAATTAGTGCAATTGATAGACAATCAGGTATTTATGATTCTTTTACCTGCGACTCTTCCTCTAATATTATATTATTCCATAACAAGTCTACTCTGGTCTTTTACGGTCGAGCAGCGCTCAGCAAAAAACTTTTCTTTTTTCTTTCTTCTCTCCAAAGAACAATCTTAACATTTCCATCTCCTCATTATACTATACCCAGGGCTTTCATTTGAATTGATTTTTCTTTTTTCACTGTTTTTTTTTGATTTTGCTCTCATCTTTACTGTTTGAATTTTCTCATGTTATCGTCATTATTAGATTCGAAGCTCTTTCTATTCTTTTCATATATGCGTTGTGCTGTTGTTTCTGTTCAATTTTCTCAAGCAATTTCTTTTATTCCAACTACACTTGTTTTCATTGGCCAAACCCACCATCATTCCTCTCGATCCTGCCATCAATTCTACACACTTGAGTTTCCTTGTACATAAATTCCGTGCCTTTCTCCACCATCTCTTCTCTTAACGTTTTATTTGTGGCCTCTTTCGCCCCTCATCGTATTGCTTTCCTTTTCAAAGCGGATTCTAATTTTGGATCCATTTCAAACAGCTGTTCGAATTATATTACAATTCTTATTCTCAGTGGTAAGTGGGAAGGATAGCGAGACGAGAAACGAAGAAACACGAGAGGGAACAGCGGAGCGGCATGGGGATGTGATAGTGGAACCAGCATGTTTTGTTTGTTTTGTTTTAGTGTGCAGCTGTGGTCCTTTCTGTACGACAAGCGGAGGAGCTTGACCTCGGAGTCCGAGTCAGGTTTCCTGTAGAAGTATGTCATTTTCTTATTGCGAATAACTTCATCCTCAGCGCGGCATTGTTCTGTCTCGGTGGTTGAAGTTGATGTTTCCAATGGAGGAAGAGCGAATAGAAATTTTGCGATCTTTGACGGGCTCTTCTGATGATGTTATCGTCGACTTGGCTAAGTGAGTTATCTCAGTTTCACTGCAGATGTTGTTTTGAGCCTCCTACCTCCGCTTTCATCTTTTTTTGGAGCTCATAATGTACTCTGTCTGTAGCAGCTTCTTAAGGGACAGCTAACTTTATTTACTTGCTTGATGCGAGTCGCCCTTAACTGGTCATCATGGTAAGTTGCGTGCATCGCGTTGAGTTTTTCTCGAACATACGCTAAGTCTTTCTTATGGATCACGCTACTGTCTAGTGATCTCACCCCTCACCCCTCCAACCCGCATTCATCGAGTTTATCGAGCGGGGCCTGCAACGTCTCTATGGCTCCTTCCCACGTGCCAAAGTACTCCTTAAGAATTTTCTTGCTTGCGTAATAGGAAAACGTATTTCTTCCTGTAGAGCCCTATGAAGAAGCTTGATTCATGCTATTTGTTGAAATGTGAAGCAGATCTTCTTCTTCTCCCTAGCGTTAGTCCCGCGCAGTCGCAGGGTCCGCTGTCTTTATCAGTCGTCGCCACTTTGCTCTGTCCAGGGCATCTTCTGCTGTGGCCATGACTTCACTTAGGTCCTTCTTGATACGTCCTTCCACCTCTTCTTTGGGGCTCCTCGCGGTCGCTTGCCTTGCACTTCGAAGTCCATCGCTTTCCTTATCGGGTGGATCCTGTGGCCTCCTTAGCACATGCCCATACCATCGCAGTCGCTGCTCCCTCACCTTCAGCTGGACAGGGGGCGTTTGCATCGCAGATGTGAAGCAGATGTAGCATGCTATAATCCCAAGAGTGTCAGTCAGTGCCGAACCTCTTTATTATCACTACTTCAATGCGGAATTCGGTCGTAACGCATTCGGAGGATAGAGTAAGTAAGTGTATGTTGAACGTGCGATCTTGCGATCATGTGATCTGCGATCGTGCCACCGCATGATTCATACGTAGTCACTCCACACTCGAATCGCACACGAAATGCAAAGGCAGTCGCAAAGTACAGTGACCACACTCTAAATTTCTCAACGTTTCACCTAATTCTAACGTTGTTATCTTATTTCCAGACGTACACACGGTTTCACTGGAGGAGATCTGAAATCATTGGTTGTCGCCTCCCGTTTTACTGAAGGACAAACTGAAAGTGAGAAGTTGGAAAATGCTCGAAAACGTGTCCGACCGACAGGGATCCGGCAGTTTATCCTAGAGGTTTGCAATCTTGAAGCGCAGAAAGCACAAGAGTACTATTGCGAAATATTTAGGTACCTCATGTGAGCTGGGATGACATCGGAGGTAGCGAGGAACTGAAACTTGAAATACAACAGGTGTGCTGATTTTCTCTTGCGTTAGAGCATTATGGGAGCACGCCTAATATAAGACATGCCATGCTCTAGGCTGTAATTTGGCCGCAAAAGCATCGAGACGCGTTCGAACGATTTGGTATTGATCCACCTTCAGGTATGTGCTTATAAATTTGTTCCTTGTGCTTTCAAAAAATACTCGTCTAGCGCTTGTGTTAGTAATTTGTTGAGAGATCCAAAAAAAGTTAGAAATGACGAGATCTTCATCTGAAGTGAGTAGTGATGAACTCAGTGTCGAACTGAAATGTTTCACAATCGCTTCAAACACGGTTGATAAGAGATAAGTTCTGTTTGTGAGGCTGCCAGTGTTCGACATATTCAAGTGGTCCACTTTAGAATTATGATCGTTGAAATTTTCTTTTCAGGAATTTTATTGTATGGACCACCTGGCTGTAGCAAAACTTTGGTCGCTCGTGCGCTTGCTAGTGAGTCGAAGATGAATTTCTTAGCTGTCAAAGGACCAGAGTTATTCAGTAAATGGGTCGGAGAGTCTGAAAAAGCGATTCGAGATCTGTTTTCCAGAGCTAGACAGGTAATGCTCCTTGAATGCAAGAAATTCTTTCTACCGCACTGGATTTTTTCTTTCAAAGTCTCTCTATTGTTTCGTTTGCAGGTAGCACCCACTATTGTATTCTTCGACGAAATTGATGCGGTCGGGAGCTCAAGAGGGTCCGAGAAAAGCTCTGGTTCGTATGTATTTTTGCTCCTAGCTTATAGATAATTGATGACTGTTTTCGCCCATTGTAAATTTGTTTCTTTTTTCCACAGGAGTTTCTGATCGCGTTTTGGCGCAACTTCTCACAGAGCTTGATGGACTAGAAAAGCAGAGCGGTGTGCTCTTACTCGCTGCGACAAATCGTCCTGATCAGCTCGATAGCGCCCTGTTGAGGCCAGGTAAGATCTCGCTTTTCCTATTGCGTGCGTTCTATATGCTCTACCAAATTTGTTCAACTTAGTGAATTTCTTGGCATTAATTTTCAATTTTACTATAAATATGGGACAGAACTAAATATGAAAAATCTGCATTTTTTGTAGTGCGTTTTGCAGTGGAATAGCTGTGGGATGGGTACATGTAGTTGCCCCTGGCACAAATAATGTTGCCTGATAGCAGCACTGGTACGTTTGCCATCATGACAACGAGGCTTGGATTCAATGCGGTGACTGCCCCCTTATGTCGAAAAGTAATCATTGTCGATTCCATTTGAATGTCGTCGGGAATAAGAGGAATAACAGAAAAGTGGGGGTAATGAGCTTCATGACTGACGTCACGCCCTAGTTCTACTGTGTGTTATCAGGGGCATACTGTTTGATGTCAATCTATAAGAAGTTCGTTGGAGAAGCTAGCTTGTTTTCAAAATCCACGTGACGAATCCCTGCAGAGTTCTGGCCAAGAGCCTAACCAAGTTCAGCTAGGAGAATGGTTTGCACTGAATGGCTCTCCATAACTGGTCTACGAGCCGTATTTAACGAAGGAATAGACGCAGGATTTTCAAATATCCCGTAGGCAACCTATCTGGAGAACTTGCAACTGATCCGCTGTTTTATTCGTAAACTTTGATAGTGTTTCTGTTTGAAATGCCCTCTCATTGCCACCTCTACATTGTCACTGGTATATTTACGGAACACACCGTATGTTCAGCTGACAATAGTAGTTATCAAGTTCTGGAGATGATCATTTAGTCTTGCTAAATTCAGGCCGTCTTGACCGTGCAATATATGTTGGACTTCCATGTTCTAAAACAAGGCGTGCAATCATCGAAATGAGAACAAAACGCATGACCTTAGCTGAAGATGACATCATCGAAAAACTGGTCAATAAAACCGAAGGTTTGTTTTAGTCATATTCGATTTTAGTCGGGATGAACTCTGATATGAGGGTATCGCGATGGGTGGTCTTACTGGTAGCATCTCTTTGTGAGGAGATTTCACATTGTAATTCGTAACTATCGCAGCTAGCTGTTATAATGCTTTATATTTCGCCTCACATAAGTACTCATAGATGAAAAGTTCAGGGTACTCGGGAGCTGAGCTGGTTGCCGTTTGTCGTCAAGCTGCACTTCTTGCAATGAGAGAGAACATAAACGCAACGGAGGTGCGGTGGCAACATTTTGAGGAGACTTTACTCTCAATTGTGCCACGAACGGAACGTCACATGCTGGAAGCGTATGAGAGGTTCAAACGCGGAGTTGTGTAGGAGAAGTAGAGCATACTTTAAGTTTACGTTGATTATTTTCATAAATTATTTATTGCAGAGAGTGGGTTGTAGGTTCCATACGACCGTTGTTATCGTTTTTACTGGTCTTCACCAATGTTGTTGACTGGTTTTTGTTACTTGTTTGCTTGTTTTCGGTTCAGTGTTCATAATCTTCCTGCGATCCTTTCAAAAATAAATAGTAGAATCAGATTCTTGCATACTGTCTCACTGAGTTAATCAAATCAACAAATCTATGAATTTTTATAAGATGTGACGGAGTTCTGCCCCATAAAGAGTCATGATTTTTATAAGATGTGACGGAGTTCTGCCCCATAAAAGAGTCATGATTTTCACTAGTTTCATTGGAAATTTCGATATAATGGACATCAATTTCAAATGCAAATAATTGTTTTGGCATCCAAAATTAAGGATTCAGTAGCAGTTTCGAAGTGAAGCCTCCATAAGTTCACGTCTCTTTCAAAAAAAGAAAAGGTTTGCGAATGAAGCAGACGGTTAACAGACGACAGGGTTTTTGCCG